CCTATTGTGGGGGTTGGAGGCTCAGACTACTCAAGGACACAGTCAGTTGGAAACAAGGTGATGTCAGGTGGCTGATGGATATGACCGGTTGGGCAGACCCAAGAAGACAGTTGGTTGCAACTGTGTTATCTGATTGGAGGGTCTGCAACCGGTCTGTATACTGGATCTTTTGGAGAACTCTGTGAAGTGTTGTTCGGACATTTCTGTTCGGAGATGTTAGCCGAGGATCTGGTCCTTGATCCTAGGGGCTGCCGATGGTCAGACCCTGGGAAACCTGCTGTCCAATGTTCCCTTTGTCACCACACTGACCGACTTGCATATGCTATGGTTCTGCCTGTTTGAAGACATCGGGGGGGATATAACGCAGAAATGGAACATCTCTATTGAGCTCGCTCACAGTATTGCCCAGGTATCTGAGTCGAACTTGGCTCCGTTTTGGAAAACTTTGAAAAAGCTTGTGGTCGCCAAGCATGTGGGGTTATTAATTATTAAATTTTAATATGGTTAATTCTTCACCAGGTGCTCCCTACGGCCTCAATGCTTTACCACAGACTGGACAAAGGATCACCCTTTTGTCAGCTTTGCTCCACCGGGTATGTGGTTGAAGACTTGCAGCACATGTTCATAAGGTGCTCGCAGTCTGTATCCGTCTGGAATCACTGGCGGGCGTTGCGCTTGATCATGGAGGAATGGGGTGATCTTTGGGCAAATGATGCCATTCTGTTAGGTTCTGTTTTTTCTCAGCCTCTCGTCCCACAGGTCCTTTTTTTTTTTTTTAATTGCTCCAATCTATTCGTGGGGAGCATCACGTGCTGGGAACCGGGCCCAGCGTCCTTTATAATGGAAATACATTAATGATTGACAATTGATGAAAATTTAGGTTGATTGAGGATCATTTTGGATGATTTAGGATGTCAGAGTGGGTGATTCAGGTCATGAAATAGAGCTAGATGATGACTAATCGGAAAGACTGTCAACTCAGCACTGAATTACTATCCTATCCCTAATTTCCTGTATCCATTCCAAACAACCAATCACAATTGAGCCCGTGCTGTGCACCAATCAGGCCTCCTCCCGGTCTCACAACCCAATCTGGCTCGGTTACAGGGCAAGGCTACCCACCCCAGCTCCGACCATCGTTGGCCAGATTGTAGCCATTAGTCAAGTTTGCAGATTGCCTTCCTCCCTCGGCAATTCCAGACCTCTATACAAAGCCTCAAGCTCCTACACAAGCAGGTTACAGGGCACTGCCCCAGCGCCGGCTAGCGTCGTTCTGGCGCCAACTCAACCTGGCCATTACACAAGAGGACTCAATTAGGAAATTAGCTAATCTAGGATGCCAACCAGAAATCAAGGATCTGATAATATCAGAATCTTGATCAGCAAAACTTTGTGATGATGAAATTTGACGAGTACCCTTAGATGATCACGAAGATGATGGATAATGATGACGATGCTGATGATTATCTCTTCACCCCCCCCCTTCTTCCATGTATTCTCCTCCTCTCCCCTCATTTCCTCTTCTCCTCTCGCTGCCTCCGCTGAGCCGAACCCCGCTATCAGCATGAAGTTCCTATCAAGCCCAACGAGAGAGAGAACCTCCCCTTTCCCTTCTACCTTGAGGTAACCAGTTCCCCCAAAAGGTGTACCTCAAAACTAACACTCTGACCTAGTCTGCCTCCGCCAGGAGATAATGCGCCCCCATACATATCTCCCAGCCCCAGCCCAGGTCAGCTCCCATCATCTGCATCTACTCCCTGGAGGGCAATCACCTCCCACCTTGTGTTACCCCTGCGGAGTAGCGCTCCCTTCCTGACCAACCTACCTACCAACTAGACCATAGCCTATCTGGGAGATGAGAATATAATCACAAACACAGAGATGACTACTGATTGATGAAAAAAAGAATAACG